AGGCAGTGGGATAGAAACGCAGAAGGAGCCCCGTGTTTAGACGCTCACCCTCGGAGGCTGTGGTGTAACCGAGGGCGTGTGCAGGCCGAGCCATCACACCAATGCGTTGTGAAGGTGAGCGGGGAAGAGCAGTGAGTCCACCGTGGGGTGGGTCGACCAGCAGCCTCCTGGTGGCTTCCACTGGTCCTAGTGCTCCCGGCCATCATGGCGCAGCCAGGTGTCCCGCATTCCTCAGGGCTCTGTGTACAGGCCTCAGAACGGGTGGAGCGGATGCGGTCTTTGAGAGGAGTGGGGTGGCAGCCTGCAGACTGGGGGACTTGGGTCCCAGGCTCACAGAGCCTTAGAGCTTCTGTGACCAGATCACCGACTCCCCAAGACTCTCAGCTTCTCACGTCTGTAAAAGGAGGACCCTAGGATCTGGTGCCCAGTTTAAAGGAGGAATAAGAGCAACCCTACACCTCTTTCCTCTTTGTTGTTGTTGACAACAGGATTGTTTGCTGTGCTTCTGCTTACAGGAACTGAGGTGGCTCAGCCTCCTCTGCTGAGCAGCAGGAGTGAGGCCCCATGGGGAACGCAGGTGAACGTTTGACACAGGCCTGGTCCTGGGGGAGGGCTCCACATCTTCTCAGAGACGGTCAGTCGTGTCTTCGCTCATCATTGTGTGGACTGCACAGCTTATGTCAGCCCTGGGACATAAAGCCCTGTGGCTTTGGAAGGGTATGGTCAGGGACAAAAGCAGGAGCTTGAGCTCTCTCTGCCCTTACCCTTAATTCTTCATGTGTGGGAAGAATGACTTCTGGGTCTTCTGTCTGCCTGCCAGCAATTGGTGCCCAGTGTGAGCCGTCGGAAGGCAGAACCTTGAAAGAAACCATCTTGCTGACACAGTAATCAAGGGAGGTGGCCATTTCCAGGGGGATGAGAATTCGGCACTGGCAGCTCCAAATCAGGGATGGAGATTTCCTAGCAGGACAAGTCGTGGCCATTCCTGGCTGAGAAAGACTCCAACTTGGACTTCAGTTCAGTGCTTTCCTTCTGGTTCACACAAAGCCAGGCCAGGAGGATGCCTTCCCAAAGGTAATAGCATCCCTGAGAAGGGTAACGCCCAGCCTTGTCAGAGTTCCCACAGCACCACCTCTTTTGAACTAGAAAACATAGAATGGTTGGAAAAAAAGAGCATCACATGACTTGGGTGGTTGGCCTAAAAAAGAGAAAAATAGCCACTGGACTATGAACTTCCAGTGCATTCTTGAGTTGCCAGAGGGCAGGGCTGGGAGGTCAGGAAATCGAAGATGGTTTTCTGGGGGTGTGGGGGAACCCCGTGCTCCCTGCACATGGTCCAGTCAGGCAAGAGTGGAGATCTCTGGGGGAGCAGGCACACAAGCAGGGCCCCTGCCCATGAAGTTTCTGAGGCATGTTTCAAACAGGCAAGTTTCAAACCTCTGTGTGCGATGAAACCCTACCCACAGCGGGCCTGGTCAGTGTCACCTGGCTTTATCCCGCTCTTGCTCTGGGCAGGTGAGAGGAGGGGAGCCTGTGTCAGCCTGTGCTGCATCTGGGCTCAGTGGGGACAGCGTGTCAGGGCGCAGGACGGGAAGCCGGGCTTTCTTGAGATCAGAGTTCCCTGGATGTGGGGCTGAAAAAATCCAGATCTTACACCACAGCTGCAGTGGGCATTTTCCTTGCTTGGCTTGGGGGCCTTCTCATCTACTGGTCCATTTGTGAGACTCCAGTCCTGCATGCGATCAGGAGGCTTGCAAAGGAGCCCCAAGGGGGTAAAGCCTCAGTAAACGCCAGAGAAATCGGTTTCCACAGAGTTCCCAACATTGTTTCACTTTCCCCTAAGGACAGAGGATGTGGCTCTTCTCAGAGAGAGCAGTAAACTCAGTGTAGGGTCTGAACTGCCCTGGGCGCCCCGCACAGAGGAAAAGGCCTTCCTGTTGCGCAGGGTCATTCCTGAGGAGCAAGGGTCATTCAGAATGTGCTTGTTGGTTTGTTTGCCAACTTGACCAAACACCACTCTGTAGTTACAACGCCACACTGTAGTTGGCAGGACAGGAGCTTGGCTTTGCCCCAGAGGACAGCGACAAGAATCAGCATTTGGACACAGCCCTGAGTTCAGGGAGACAGTCTAAGGTATGAAATGCTGAAGGGCCAAGCTCTCTAAAATTCTTGTGTTTGTAGGGTTCCTTAGGGGTGGGAGACTGAAAGGAGGGTTGTAGTTCTCACCACAACCTGTAAAGCACACGTGCATCCTCTGTTCTTCTTCAACTTTGGACAGTTAAGAAAACAAGATGTGGGATCCAGAGGCAAATCTCGCTGTCAGTGCCTGGGAAATATGAGCCCACCTGTTAGCCGGACGGCAGTGAGAGACGGCTCCTCTAACACCTCGACAGGGGAAGATAGTGCGGAAAGCCTCTGTCCGCCTTACATGGAAACCAGCCCCTCTGCCCGCAGTGGGCTGAGCCCTCGTGCAGGCAAAGTGAGGAGGTGGGCAGGGTCAGTGCTGGCAAGGCCCCAGCTTCTCTCCTCACTGCCTAGGCTGCACTGGGCCCTCCCTTAGCCCCAGCAGAGCTACGGTCTCAGCCCGGCTCCCCAGTGGCCCCTCTCTCTTCTGGGGTGCAGGGCTAAGGCACATGGCTCTCAATGCCCAGTGTGTGAGCCAACTCATCTTTTTTTTTTTTTTTTTGGT